TTTCCCGGCATCCTATATTAGCAGCAATGGCGGACGCTTCTCCATGTGCCAAGTACAATTCCAAGGTTAAAGTCCGTTAAATTCTCCATTTTAAATTAGAAGGCCATGTTAGGCGCAGTAAAGCTATTGCTCTGTTTGGTACTACCTGCAGTTATACTTCAACAAGAGCTCTTTAACCAAAACTGTTCCGTGTATGCAGCAACGACGTTTTTTGTTAACACTTCTGGAGTGAACTCCGCCGATTGTGGGGCATCATCGAAGCCCTGTTACAGCATATCCTTTGCCGTTGTAGAGTTGTCATTTAAGGGTTCAAACGATAAGTACTCTCGTCCCTTTCACATGTGTAATTCCCTTTATTGCACGTGGTTACTCTCTTATATATTACAATTTATGGAATTTATGGAAATCAATACACTACATCCTTCCCGGGCAACGTTCAAAAACAGTAATCAAATATTCAATCATACTAAATCGTATACAAATCAGTCTGGCTCAAAAATAAACAAAGTTTTCCAAGTCCTTTGTAGACTTGACGACGCGCCCTGACCTAGTGGTGACACTAGAGTCATTCTGAACAGCGTTATTATCAGAATGATCACTTTCTAGACAAGCATCAGCATTTTTCGTTTGCGATTCACTACTTTCCATAGCACTAGTTTGAGGATCAACCATGTCCGTTGATTCACTAGAGTCAGTAACGACTTCGCTAGTAGGCGCGTGCTTTAAGTATTTTGCGTTGCGAACTAGAGTGGTAACGTTTGAAACATTGACAACGCTGAAAGTGTCCCTCCCTTGGGACTTAATGATAGCATGCTCAGCCGGAGAAAATTTCGAGTCTAGCGTGTTTGGTTTCATGTTCGCACAAAAGACAACATCGCCGACACGAAAGTCGTGCGGGGTCGCGCTCTGCTTAGCATCGTGATAACTCTTTAAACGATGTTGATACGATTCGCATCCTGCCCGATGTTCTCGATCAAGTGCTTTTTTAGCGCCTCGTGTGCAATGTGAGTTACCTTCATGCTCATTTCTTGAGTCAACAATAGCATAGCGGACGATCTCCCACTGATTGGATGCGGACTCGCTCGATAAAGCATGAGAATTTTGGGCAATTCGGTTTGCCAAGACTTCAACCTCAGAGATCGCGGCTCGGAAATTTTTCTTGAGATATCGATGAAACCTTTCTAGTTTCCCATTGCTACACGCGTAATACGGAGACACGCGAATGTGTTGGATGCCACATGATTTGAGGTACGCGTCAAATTCTGCGCTGATAAATTGTTTGCCGTTGTTGGAAACATGTTCGTCTGGGTATCCAAATCTAGCAAAGATAGCTGTCAGTGCTTTAATAACTTCACGGGAAGTTATCTCTTTGATGATGCATGCTTCTGGATAGGAGGAGTAGTGGTCAATGTAAGTCAGGATATGCTTACCATCAATACGTCCAACGAGATCGACTGCTCCTTTAATCCACGGACCACGAGGTAACGGGGTCGGTTGAAGCGGTGTGTATCTGTTAAGCGGCTGGTTTACAACACAAGCACTGCATCCCTTAATCAGAGTTTCAACGTCTTGGTCCATGCCGGGCCAAAAGAAACGCGCACAAAGGAATTGCTTAGTTTTAACTATGCCTTGATGCGTTTCATGTGCTAGTTTTAGAATTTGTTTTCGTACCGACTCCGGAACAACAATGTGATTTCCTCTAAGTATGACTCCTTCAAAACCTTCAGGTTGTATTGACGACATCGCTCGAAAACATGCCGAAGACGCTTCACAAGTTCTGGCATGGTTGGAGCATGAATAATTACGTCGTCAACCGAAATGCGTACACCTTCAACACCAAAAAGTATCTTTTCCATTATTTTTTGGAAGGCTTCGCTTGCGTCACTAAGTCCAAAGGGAGTAAGCTTAAACCTATAACAGCCCTGTGGCGTGATAAACGTGGTAATGTACCGCGACTGCTCAGCTAGCGTGAGCTGAAAAAAATCACTCTTTGCATCGATCTTTGCAAAATACTTAGAGCCGCGCAGTACATGCTGCGTATCATCAACCTTGGGTAAAACGTAACGTTTTAATAACAGCCTTATTCACTTCGCGTAAATCGCAACATACTCTTAATTCTCCAGATTTCTTTGGAACGATAACTAGGTTAGAGACCCATGGACTAGGCTCAGTGACATCCTCAATAATGTCTTTTTCTAACATCCTGTCAAGTTCCTTAGTAACCGCTTCAATTTGACTGACAGGTATGCGTCTCAGATGTTGAATTTTTGGTTTGACCTCGGGGTCAATTGTAATCTTATGTTCAAAATCATTTACCTTTCCTAACCCGTCAAAGATGTTACTATACTCCTTTAGCAGTGAGTGAAGCTCGCCATTATCATCATCTTGATGCACGGAGTTGACTTGAGTAAGTACTTTTAGTTTAAAGCTAGACTCTCGTCCTAAAAGCGATTCAGCGTTACCCTCGATAACGTAAACATTTGAACTTACAACATCGTCACGCACTCTGATAGTAGCATTAAAATACCCCTTACATTTTAATGGCTCTTTCTGGCCATACGCTGTAAAGCGTTTCTCGGTAGTGTTCAGTTCATAGTTCTTAAATTGCGATTGATACAGCTTGGAAGATATAATGTTGTACTTACAGCCTGTATCGACTATCATTCGAGTCTTTTGTCCATTCAGTTGTACTGTGATCAGTGGAACTGTTAGCGTTGTTGAAGGACAGTACTGGTTCGTTCTCATCATCTGAACTTTCGTCAAGCCATGGCTGTGCTTTCAGGCTACGAATCTTGTTGGGTCGCTTCTTCTTCTTCGCTGGCCTCTGCTTGGCCCGGTTCTGGTCTGAACTCTTAAACTTGGATCGGCAGACTTTCTGTAGGTGTCCTACTTTCTTGCACGAGTTTCATCTGGAGTTTATCGCACCACACTCGGTCGCATTGTGGCCGTCCGTTCCACCGCACCGATAACACGTGCATAATTTCTGAGGTGTTTTTCTCTGAGGTGTTTTCGATGGTCTCGATCCGTGTGCCACGTGGTCGATTCGGATCGGATTTTCTTTGCTTCCATTACACAGAAGAAGAGCTTCTTGTGAGGCGGTCTCTTCACTCCGCGCAATCTTCATGGTTTTGGACAGATCGAGGCTCTCTTGCTGCTACAGGTTCTGCTTCAGTGTTCTGGAATGGCACTTTTCAACGATCTGGTCTCGAGTCATTTCTTCCTCCAACGCACAAAGTCGCAGGATTTTGCAAGTTCTCTTAGGGAGGTCAGATATGTGTCGATCGGCTCATCCGGCCTCTGTGCTCGTGATCTGAACTTGTAGCGCTCTCCGACAACGTTCCTCTTTGGAGCCAAGTACCCGTTAAGGGCGGCTTTGACATCATCATACTTTTCGTACTCTCCTGGCAGCGTGTTGAAGATACGTTGAACCGCCGGACCAAGGCAGTGCAACAGTGTGGCCCGTTGAACGTTATCAGGTTTGGTCGCAAGGCCTGAGACAATCGCGTAGATTTCGAAAGCGTTCATTCAAGGCTTCCACTTCGTGTAGGGGTCTGAAGCGTCAGCATTGAAGGGTGTTGGCGTTGGTAGAGAACGTTCCGTCTCGTCTGAGGATTCGTTCAGTTCTGCCGCTTCTGGCTCTGTCTCGTTAGCGAGATCTGCTGAAGGTTCTGTTTCTGGCTGCGCTGGGACGTCTTCTGCGTTGTCTGCACTTAGAGGTTGTTCACCATCCTCGTCGCCAGTGTGTAGAGTTGTCATTTAAGGGTTCCAAAGATAAGTACTCTCGTCCCTTTCACATGTGTAATTCCCCCTTTATTGCACGTGGTTATTCTCTTATATATTACAATTTACAGGTACTCAGGAATAGTAGTTTTACAGCATGCAGTTGTCACACAATGTAACTATTGTACAGCATATGGTGTGATATGGTTGTTATGGAGATCAATACACTACAGCCGTGAATCTAGCGACTAGAAAGAACGTTAGCTCAATAATTGTTAATATTTCCACGGGAAGTTATAAAGAGGCGGAAAGTTTTAAACTGGATTGTGGAAGATGGAGCTTACGGAAAGTTACTTTTTGGGACATGCCATTAGAGACAGCGCGTCACCCAAGCCGAAAATAGACTGAACACTGTAAGGTACTTGGAAGGGGAGGTCTGGTTTCGATAAACAAGAGCACCTGTCGTCTAGTGCGGCTTCGCAAGGTGAACATCAGTGCTAAACGATCACTAACTATTTTGAATTTAGATATCGGTTTACGTTTTGCTTAAAAAAGCCGCTCCTGTTTACAAAGAAATGACACGCGATTGTTTCAGAGAACTCGTCGTAAAATGTAGTTTGCCTTGAGAAAAACATGGAATCCAGCGCTCTAAGAATATTTAAAGTAAGTCAGGAACACACTTGCTCACTTTCCTTATAATATTAACAAAAACAGCAACAACTAATAGACAAACAAATCAAGCAAATCAATAAGATCTGTCCTTTTATGTTCTCCGTATCAATTGTTTCTACACCCCACCTTTCTATGCATTTTTGGGTGCATCTTAAAAAAGTCATTGAAGTATTGAAATCTGAATGTATTCGTTTTAAGCAGGCAATCGTTTCAAACTGACGAATTTTTTTTTGTACACTACACAAGTAATTATTTTGAATCAATCTTAATTGCACCTTGTGTAGTCAGTTCTTATCAACGTACCGATTTCTACTTCACTTGACTTTGTGAAAAGCAAACTGACCTCTGCCAGATNCGTTTTAAATTTTTTTTGTAACCTTTTCAATGGGGATAAGCAACAATTGGTTGAAGTCGACTTATCACTTAATGTGCTGCTCTGTGAAGTAAACTTGACTGGCTAAATAGCAGGCCAGTGATTCACCAAGCCTTTATGTCAGAAGTGACAGTCTGCCAGTGCTCTGCAAAAGGAACAAATATAAGCATCACCGGTAGTTCATCCAAGATTATTCTTAAATACACCAACATTTCAAGCAGTTCGGATTATCAGC